GGGGGGGGGCAGGGAGAGGGAAGGGGAGGAGAAAATGACCTGATCTACAACATATTCCACTAGAATGCAGAAGAAATGCAAATCAGCAAAGAGTTTAGAGATCAGAAATCAAAGTTAGTCTTTAGAAGTATCTGAAGTACAGATTAATGCCAAATTTACTTCATATTAATAGAAATACATCATGGATTAGATACTCTAAAACACTGTTCCTTGTTTAATGAAAAAAGGAAAAACTACCTTCCTCAATTCTTAGTATTTCCTAAAAATTTTGACAACAGTAGTCTCCTCCTTATCCAGCAACTTTGTCATAGAATAAACAGCTCAACACACTGTTAAAACTAGCAACTCAAAGATCTGAACCACTTTTAAGCCTAAAGCTAGACATAAGTGAAATAGCAGAACTTTATTTGTACAAGGGTTTCTTACTTGTTCCAATGCGTCTTTGAATTCCGGTACAAGGATGGAAACATGATGGGTAAAATCTTTGCCGCATTGTCACTAATTAAACTCATAATATATTCATTATTCCAGTAGTATAATGCTCGCTCCGCAACCTAAGACGACACGAAAAAAGGAACACTTCTTCCGATAATGTCTTAAAGAGCAAATAATTGAAACATTTGGCAAATGTAAGGGAAAGGTAAGAAAAGTTGCAACTTAGATTTGGATTTTGCTAGTGCAAATGGGAGTCATGGAGCTGATGGAAAGAGGGATGGAAAAATTGCTTTTTCCTTGATTGGGACATGATTCAAACTATAACCTATGAACTGTGAAATTCAGGAAAGAAAAGAAAGAGTATTTGTAGAACTCTATTACAAGCAGTAAAATGCAAACACTATGTACTGAACGGGTTCAGGTACTTCTGAAACCAGCAAGCTTTTAGTTTTTATGTTAAGCATAACGCTGAAGTGAATCACCCAATATTAATGCACATACCACTCTTGAAAAGAAACAATAAAGCTAACATTTGGATCCTTAAAATTTGACACAGAATTGAAGACTTTTTTTTTTTTGCAATAAATAAAATTAATTATGGTGAATAATAGTAGGTAATACCCTTAACAAGTCTGCTTTATAAAAATGCTCCTATTATTGTGCATTCAGTACGTACAGACCTGAAAGTGTGGACTGGACACACATTTGGCTAGCTGTCTGAAAAGAGGCTCCATAACTTTCACAAATTCAGATGGTTCAATAACATCTAAAATTTCTTCTAGTTCATTTAAAAACATGACTTCTTTTGGACTGTGAGTCTTTGGCCAGTACTTCAGCAGTGCCATTACAACCTGTAGAGACAAAGTGAACATAATCTTGACGATAATTTGACTTTACCTTGCTGACACCCAGCGAATAAACCCCACACAGCCGCTTGCTCACCACCCCGCGCCCCCCCCCCGCTTGCTCCCCCCCCCTCCGGTGGGATGGGGGAGAGAATTGGGAGGGCACAAGTAGAAAAGCTCCCGGGTTGAGATAAAAACAGTGTAATAATTGAAATAAAAGAAAATAGAACAGTAATAATACCAATGAGAACAACAACAATAGCAGAATATACAAAGCAGGCGATGCACAATGCAACTGCTCACCGACCGTGGACCGCGTGTCACGAACGGGGGGCGAGCACCCCCTACACACCTCGTTTTTATACTGAGCGTGATGTCACATGGTATAGAATACCCCATTGGCCAGCTGGGTCCACCAAATTTGCTATTATACTATGCGTAAAATTATCTGCCACTTACACAAGAGCAGCTTTCAATCTCTAATTTCTTGAAGGCATACTCCAAAGCTCAAGAAATTAACTTCTATCATTGTATTTCAAGAAAAGATTTACTATAAATACCCAAATTGACAGGTGACCAACTACTCTAGGCATGTTCTCTTAAACGTTGAGTTTTATTTAATTCACTATATTACTGTAATCACAATCTTAACTTACTTCATGATTATTAAATTATTTACCCAGCTTGCTGAAGCAGTTTTTGCCTAGCAAACCATGAACACTCAAAAGACAGGTCAGAGAAAGGAGAGAGGAGGGGAGAGGAAAGGGGGAGACAACTAAGGGATCCATAGAAATGTGACACAAAAGGAAGTCATCTGCCAGCTGACTCACAACCCTTCAGAAAGAGTCTATACATCTGTGGGAAATGTTTCTAAAGTCTAATTGAAAAACAACCTCTCTCATCTATTGAATATACAAATAGAAGAATTTAAGTCTGAAAAGTGATACTAGTTTAGCAGTTAAATATATTTAGACATTGTATTTATTAGTGGTGTTATCAATTACATCATAATTTATTCAAGAATCTTCAAAAATACAAAGTTACATTGGAGGAATAACGACTTGTGTGCTGTTAGCAATTTCTAATTTAAGCAAAATGCAAGCAGACACAAATGTTCTTGTTATGAAAGGATGATGATTTTTTCCCCAAAGATGTCAGTTTTCAAACCGAAGTGTAAGATTTTAAATTTTTTTTTTTTTTTTGGCTATAAAAACTGTTTTCTGTCTGTGGCAATATTCAAATAGGAAGACATTTTCCTTCAAAGGATATTTAAACCATGTTAAATATTTAAAAATGACTGGCATAGCAGTCAATCTTAAATTTAGGTATTTCTGACGAGAAATTAATACAACCTTGAATGTGCAAGTTTATAAATGCTTTTGTTTTGTGGTTAAAAAGCCACATAAAGAACGAAAATATGACAGTGTCTGTCCTAGACGTAGAACTGGACAAAAAACCCCCAAAACAGTACAGACTTCTTGAAAGTTTATATTTGTCTTTTTATATAGTTTAAAAGTTGCAACAATCCATTAGCCTTTCTCTCAGACAACAACTTTTTTTCTCTCATTTAGGAAAAAAAGCAGTCTCTTTTTTTGTTTTCTGAAAGGGAGGACATTTTTATATTTAAAAACTATAAGCAATATTTCATATCATCACTGGCAAGATAACTCAGTGAGAAATCAGTGTATCTTTCATATATGTAGATACTATGTCCTCAATGAAGCCTTGGGAAATTTATGCAGATTTTTTTAACAAGAAGTCAGAAGTCTCACTTGACAACTATAAGGGGAAACAAAGTTTTATTTTATAACGACCAGAATTTTTGAAGGGGGACTTAGTACTTCAGTGATGCATGTGCTAAGTTTTTAAAGAATGTTGTAATCATGTACTAATTTGGGATCAAAAAGGGAAACAGACTTGGATGCATTTCAGTTCAGATTTGTACTAGGAAATATGTAACATCCTAGCTGATGTCTGGAAGAAAGCTAAGATTTCAAGATCTCATACAGCACGAATGACAGAATGTCTGAGATTTGGTATCTTAACAAATATTAAAAGCTCCAGTAGAAGGGAGTTCTTGCTCAGCTGCATACTTCATTTGTTTCAAGAATCCCAGTTTCCATTTTACAATGGAAATGGTTCTAATCTAATAATGTGCACTTTTGTTAGTAGCAATCGTTTTACTGATTGCTACTTAGTGATTAAACATATTAGTTCTTACCTACTTCATATTGGGTGTAATGACACAAAACACTATATACTATCGAGGATAATTAACAGTATTCATCTATGCAATTACGTGCAGCCAGACCAAAGTCTGGTTTTGTCTATGGTCCAAACTTGGTCCAGACATGAACAGGATCCGACTCAAAAGCCTTGCATCAGTAGGTAGCTCCGTGTGCCAGAAATCTGTGTTCCATCATAACATCAGTCTCTCAACAGAGCACAGTTCAGGAAAGCTAATATCTGACTAAACTGCTTCTGGATCAACCATCTCATATCCAGTCAGCCAGAACAAAATAAGCAGAATAAACTCTGGTCTGTTTGTAAGAGGTATGCTCTTTATGTTGTTTTAATTCATTTTGGACATTCCAAACAACTGCTGGAAAAACTGAATTTGATAGATGAAAATGGTTGAATATTTGACTCTTCCTAATAAAAGCAATTACATATCAATACTTTGTTCCCAAAACCTCCTTAAACAGTCTACAGATGAAAGGGATATTAATATTCCAAAATATATAATAATAGCAACATAAACTTACTGGTTCTGTAAGCGTGCTGTCCTTTTCTAAAAATTGAACTACACAGTACGCCAGCTACAGTAAAAGAAAAAGATTTTTATTAACACTCATTGTGAAGCTCAACACACTTTGAAATCACTAGCATAAGTGGAGCACACTACTGATTTCAAATAAAAGCACAACAGCTTTTCTGTAATTTTAAAAAAATTATTTGGCAGACAATTTAAACAACAAAAAGGTAAATACATTTACCAGTTTTTCCCAACATTCCCAAGACTGTCCTCACCTTCTTCTGGGTTATAATATAGACGAACACATAATTTGATGTTTTCTTTTTAGACCTAGTATTTGTATTTCAGCACACTTCATCTTCTCACACATAGGATTTAAAAACCACAATCTTGTCCTCTACAGTGCTTTCTGCTCGCTAACATTTTGGTGCCCCATGCTGTTTTAATAAGCATCTTCTATTTCATAACCTAAGTTAGTTAAAAATGCATTGTTCAGCTGTAAATCTTCGGATTTTCTATAAATGATAACTAACAATAATGATGCATACCAAATGTAAAGCTGATGCAAGCTGAGGCTGAATTACAGTATTTGCCAACTTCAATTCTGAGAATGAGACTGAGTATCTGTGCCTAAATGGTGAACTATTACATCCTTTTCACTCAATAGGCCAGTAGTCCCAAAGTAAATGGGAGGATCACTGCACACCTCATGAACTGTTTAACCATTTTTCTAATGTCTCTCCATTTATGGAAGTTCAGCTGATGAGCCCAATTCCTTTTCTATTTTGATGATTACTACCAAGAATGTTCCTAGGTAATTTGAGGAATGTACAAAGATTATTACATCTAGTGTTCTCCACTATTCTGAAATAACTTTAAATTGAATACAGAAATTAGCTTTCTTCATGTATATCTGGATTTGGCAGGAAATCCTTCTGAATATCTGCCACTGTTTCAATGTGAATTTTTGTGGTTTTACTCTGGTGTTTCATACATGAAGCTCATTTGAAATGCCTTCCCATTTCATTCAGTAGGACATGTAAGAAAGGCATCCCTATGTCACTATCTTCATTTTACTGATAGTAATGAGGAATGCAAATCACCTGAAGGTTTTGGAGAACATTTGTGAAGTAAGGGGAATAAAGACCAATCCATCTCAAGTAGGTAGAAGAAAAGGTGGTGATCACAGATGTCTGCACTAGTTGAGATTATAAGAAAGGTCTGACTGGCCACACCCCAAAAGGTTATGTTCATACCATTAGAAAAAAAGAAAAAAAAAAAAAAAATCTTCTGAAATGGGAGCCACTCTAGCTTACTACTTCAACAGGAACTGGTGTCAGTAGGCAAGATCCAAAGCAAACGCTTATAAGCGTCTTTAATTGCTAGAGAATTGTAATTATACAAATGGTGTTCTTAAAGATACAAGTTGTTCGTAATTTTATTTGAAGAAATGGTACTTAAAACTTGGAATACTTGAACTTATAGAGAAAATGTTGAACTTTCAAATTATAAAAACAAAGCTGTGTAACAACCTCTGACAGACAGAATTTCAGCATATCACAATAATACTGTGTTTCCTCTAACATTGTATGATTTCCCACTCCTCTAGGAATTCTGAATGGAACTAAAACTCAGCACAAGAAAGATATAGCTGGCTTAAAAGCACAATACAACTCAGATGTTCCCTTTTTTTCTGTGTACTTCTAAAAAGATCTACTGAATTAAATAATGATATCCTAGTAAATGCCCAATTCCTTTCAAAACATCAACAGTTGTAAGAAGCTGAATCCAGCTGAAATTCTCCATGTAGTTTAGAAAAAGCTGTTTATAGATGACATTCATTAAAACCATACTTTTCTGCAATTTATGTATGTCTAAACATTACAGACAAGATAAAAATTCTGTCGATAAATATAAAGAACTCTCACATTAATCAACTACTTCATGTGTTTCATCTATAAACACTACAGTGCTTTTAAAAAAGGTATTTATTTATTTATATACACACACACATTTTTTTTTTCCCCTCAACAAATGAAGCATTATGTGTACATATATTAAATAATTTCCCCAAGGCCGCTTAACAGGGAAATGGAGCTTAGAACAGAATTGACATCAGAATAACTACAATCCCCCTAACCTCTCCAGGCAAACTTACTTTAACACTAGTATGAAAAGCATCGAACAAAACTTACCTGTGGATGGTAGACACTGAGTGATTTCACTTTGTGCAATGGTAACAAAACCTTCAATAGGAATATTTTGTGCTCTTCTTTTAATGGTAAGGCAAATCCATTAATAATGCTGCCAGGGAAAGAAATTTAAAAATCAAAATCAGTAATTATGCGAAACCTGCACTATTGTAGAGGATATACCAAAACACTTGTTTTCATCACGTTTTTTTGCGATCTCCTGGAGAAAATATGTAACAGAAAAATTTACAAATTAAGCATGCACCAGAGACCATTTAATTTTTGATCCAGTTTTCTAAAGATTACAAATTAATAGAATAGTCAAATCAATCTCTGCCCATCCCTCATCCAAGTCTTTCACAGGTCCCAAATTCTTCTTCCAAACAACATATATGACTATACCTACACTTCAGATTCCAACTTTCACTATGAACTATTCACTATCAAAGCTTTAAATACATATTTCTCCCAGCCTCTTCATGGAATTAAAGAATGAATCAGAGACTGGATGTAGAAGAGATCAATCCAGAACAGCAGACAAGTCAAAACATGACTTCTGCTAAAATATTACTATTTCTGCAAGACCCTAGCATATAATCAAACAGCATCTCAACACATGACATCCCAGTTCCAGGTGAGTGCAGATGGCACCTTTACCTAAAAACCACAGTACTAGAACGTGTTTTGCGTTCACCCACTTTGCTAGTATTAACATCAGTTAAAACATCCAGAATCCTACTGCCCATTTACTATTTTAAATCCTATCTTATTCATTTTAATGCTTTTCTCTTCGCTAACAAGGACAGAAGGCACCCAGGCAAAAGCAACCTGCCAAATTTACCTTAAAAAATTCGAAGTTACATATATTTCAGATCTCAGAGATCAGATGATGTCCCAGAATTAAAGCTTGCTAAATAACACTTGCTCACCCTTGGTGCGCATGCTTAAAGTAATTTTCACTAGTAATGACCGCACAACTATTTTGAGGATACGAGGTTATTCCTCCTGAAGTCTCTCAGTGCATATCAAAACCCCATTTCTATGTTAACATTTCTATGGTGTTCTTGCCACAACTTCCACATACTCGACAAATATACATTAACTTTTTAAAAAAAAAAAAAAAAGTTTCTCCAAGATGTTTTAAGGGTTGTTAACCACAAAGAGGAGAACTATTATTGGGCAAGTTTGGCCTTGATTGAGTGTGAAGAAATTCTGCAATCCTGTCAAAAAGTGATTATCAGAAAAAACATAACCACGTTAGTTCCTACTGCAAGTGTTCATTTGTCCAGTATTATATAGCGCTTAGCAAAGGAAAAGAATGAAATCCAGTACTTCAGCATGAAATTCAACTCCTCTTTACTTCCGACCAGTCAAAACCCAGGAACCCAACTGAAAACCGTTACTCATAAGAAGCTCTATGTCAACAACATGCTGTGTGAAACTCCTCACTGGATTGGAAGAATAACCAATACAAAACAGTTACAGCTTGGAAGCCTCATTTAGCTACTACAAATTTTTATTTGGAAGCCTGAGGGAAAGAAATACTTAATTTTAAAATCTGTAAAAGAAGAATTTTTGAATAAATTTCAACTAATTACATGTTATTTGTAGTTGCTTTACAACTAATATTAATTACAAGGATCCTAAGCTAGAAAATAAGACTTAAAAAATAAGATTAAAAAAAATTGTCACATCCCAAAATGTTGCCACAGGGTTCAAGTTCTTGCTGTGTTTCTGCAATCTTACACAAAACTTATTCTCTTCGTTACAGCTTTGCCACATGATATGAAGCTATTTTAATCTTCTCTCACAGCATTCTGCAATCCTGAACTTGATTTTTAAAGTCTTCTCTGAAGACCAAGCGAGTTTCATTAAACAAAACCTACAACTTACCTTCCCAGTATTTCCAGTAATTCTGCTATGCCATTGTGATGTTCTGTTTCATAAATAAACCTAAATAAATGAGAAGTTTTACTCAGTTACTGCTGAAGAGAGATACAACTCTAACACCAAGATCCCCATCTAACATAACAGGTAGCCTTGACCTCCCAGGTTTTAGTCACTCAGTAAAAAGAAAACAGAAACACATAGTTGAAAAGAAACTTTGTGGAAACAAATCAATAGCACATTAAGCTGCTTTCAATGTTCACTCTCACTTGCTCTTTTCTCCCACATTTAACAAAGCAGCATGCACTTGAGCTTTTTCCAATAATCATATTCTATGCCATTTTAATAATGCAAAACTGAACACAGCAAACAATGCTTTAAATATTAAAACAACACAACAGCATCTGGCATAATCAAATGCCATGACTCAACCTTCTATAGCGCATGCAAGCACAAGGTGTTCAAACAGTTTCTACTTATGGATCTAAAAAGCTCTTTGGCATTACAGACTTCTGTGCATACAAAAGGCTCTGTAATAAACAGAGGAAGAAAAATTTTCCTGAATTTTCTTTTGATAGAGCACTGTCATTTACAAGACAATCACCTTTCCACCCTTCTTCCCAATTGCCTGAGTGTAAATTTATTGAGAAAGTTCTATGCACAACTTCAGGTATTTTGCAAATAGGTATAAAAATTTACAGTTATGAGAAAATAGTTCCACTCATTAGAAAATATTTTTCTCTTTGAAATTTGCCATAGACTGACATATTAACAGCTACTTTTAATCTAGAATTTTTGATGTGACTGTTTTTTCTCCTTAAAAGACCCTTTCCATATAATTCAGGACAACAATTCCAAGCAAAACTAAAGACAATGATACAAAAAGCTTTGGACTGAATTAACAGAAACATACCGGTTTAATAATTTTTATGAAAAATGTATTTTACATTAGAAAAAAATAAGATTAATGTACTATCGGGACAGAATTCATGCAATTCTGGTCAGTGACTAAAAGACAAATAAAGACCACATTTCTTAGGTAAGCACAGTAACAAACTGGCAACTTGCAGGAAAAAGTATAAGAAAAGGAAATATTTTGAAGAATTCTACACATACTTTAAGAGCTTATCATGCACAATCCACTAATTCAAGACAGAAGTTGAAACAACTTTCCTCCCTGGTGCTCATATCCAGGAACACTAGTTTATATTTGGGTGCAAAATGTTTCAACTTCCAGCTCCTAAATATTATACAACTAAGTGAGGTTTTCTGGTTTTTGGGTTTTTTGGTTTTTTTTTCCCCTACAACTTGGTACAGAAAGGTAGTCTCTACAGCGCAAATTATATAATCTCCCATATACATTTCAGATTGAAAACATATTTTTATACAAACTATTACAAAGTTGATCTAATGACCAGAACATTTCTTAGTTTTTCAAAAGCCTTGCACCAGAACTATCTGTGTTTTAAGACTTTGCTTCCATTATCCCTGAAAGTAAAGTGGAAGAAGTGGCCAATAAAAACACTGTTCAGAAGTGCATTATAATGCTGTTATACCATCTGGTTCAGATTTTACAAAGTTATGTATTTCAGAATTAATTTAATAAAATCTACGTGTGGGGGAAAAAAGTTTACATCTTTCTTTGAAAGATACACCTGTACTTTTTCCTTAGGACATACTTACTGGCTCTTGACTTCGGTTGTCTGCAAGACAGTGAAGCCTTACTAATTATTTTAAAGTAGCCCCTCTGTATGTCTTCTAAAGGCTTACTTGTTACTATAACAGGAAGATAAGCTCCCTCTACAGCTGGTACTGATGGGTGCCATTCATGAGATGGCACGGAGTATGTGGCAGTTTTTTGCTATTTTCTTAAAAGGGTAGCATCATACATTCATTTTGGGATGAAAAGAACTGTAGTAGAGAAAAAGGGATGCAGGATGAAAGGAGTGTAAACCACAATTATTTGTAGAAAAGAGAAGCATACCAAAACTAAAAGACTAAAAGAAAGGCACCATAATCTTGCATTCACACTTGACATAATGGCAGCAAAAACACACTTCTAAAGACCTTTGGTAATACAGTGGATTAATTTTTCATCTTTACACTTTTAGTATCAGGGATAATACTACAGTTTGTTCTATGGCAATTAAAAAAATATTTCACGAGCCCTAAATGGTACATCTCAGTTCTGAGGAAAGAAAAGGCAGTAAATACGTTCCTTCAAGCAAATTCCAGCTCTCTCAGTCATTCTATTTGAGCCCAACTTCTGCATTATGAAGACCTACATTTTATTAAGGCATTACTGTAATACAAATACTACTAACCAATAAGAAAAGAAAGCCTCATAGATGAAGATACCAAACCACCTACTGAATCACACACAAACTCAAATTTCAGCTGCCAAATTTACGCTGTGCACAAGACTATCCCAATTTAAATCTCCCTGACTGGTATTAATTATTGTTAAACATAGCAATATTGGGTATAAACTTACTAAGAACTAAAAAAATTGCTAGCAGTGTTTTGGGAGTATTTTTAGTTGTATACCTGATCACATGCACCACAATACAAAGATATTGACATACCTATAAAATATATTATTAATTTGTTTCCGGATGTAAGCTCTTAGGCCTAAGAATTTCCCATATATTCTGTGAAGAGTTGTTTTAAGAAAATCTCTTTCACGAGGATCTTCACTGTCAAAGAGCTCTAAAAGCTGCGAAGAGGGAAAAGAAGAGATGCGCTTTACTTGAACCTAATGCGTTGTAAAATAATTTAGAGCTTGAAGTTAAAAATTTTTTTTACCTCACCTGTAATACAAACTTCTGATCAATATATTTCTTAGCTATATTAGGTTGGAAATCCGGAGATTCTAAAAACCTTAAGAAAAATTCATAAACAAGCTGGGAAAAAAACCAACAAAAAATAGTATTAGTCTTTTAAACAAGGAACCATTTTATAAGCAGTACATTACCAAAATTACTAATTACTAATTAGTTGTTCAGAACTGCACTATATTTTTATTTATACACCACACAGTAAAAGCTTTGCTCTTGCTCTCCTGACAAAGTACAAGAACTTAAGGTTCTTTAAACTGCATTGAAATTCTGCTGAGCTCCATCACTAGATTTTACTCAAATAACATACAGTAATCTAATATTCATCATGCCCAGAAGTACACGTTTTGAAAATTCTCTGTTCTCCTCTGTTTACCACAGCACCTCTGAAAGCTAGAGCTGTGCCAGAGTCAGATCAAAGCATTCATAGTGACAAACTGAAGCTCATTTAAAATCAAAGCAGTTACATCTGTACAGCAAGAAAGGAGCCTTTAACCTCTAATATACTAACTGAATTTTTTTTTTCAAAGAGTATCAGTTTATATTCAAGAAATATTTTAAATATTGCAGAGAAATATAATTGACTTAAGATAAACACAAACTAAACAATTTTGAGTCAATAAACAATGACTTTAATGCCAAAATTTTGTTAGACTATGACTTCCTAGTCTTCCTTAAATACCTGTAGATGAGGCCATGCAGCTTCTAAGGTTGGTTCATCTTCCTCTGGATCAAATTCTGCTCCCGTTGGATTGGAAGATGGTGGTAATGTTCGAAACATATTAACTGCAAACTGAAATCACATGTGCCTTTAAGAATTTTGAAACAAGTGAATGATTAAAAAAACTTCAAGGATGGTTTTGACTGAGAATTCTTTGCATGAACTATTGTAATTAATATTTGCAAAAATACAAGCTATATGAGTTTAAATAATATTGAGGTACATTCATCTTCTTTACAGATTTCTAACTTGGAGAACACTTCCACGCGGTATTCTTTAAAGCACAAAACTACTGTCAGGACATGTTTTATGAGGATATTGCTCTGATCTCTTTACAAACAAATGTTTTAAAAGACCAAGCAAATGTATAAAAATGTTTACACAAACATACTTTACAAGACCTCGCAACAACCTGCAAAAGTGGAAGTCAGAAGCAGAGATGCAAACAAAGATTAGGCGCAACTGTTTTTCTCTGTAAAATATTATCAGTTTCACACCGTGGGTATACACATGAGGAAACACTTGACAACCAAATTCCTCTCTCCCCCTTCTTAGTGGTATTTCGCTTAAACCACGTCCATCTACCTGACATCACAGGGGCATTGAGGGGGGAGAAATGCACATCCTCATCCTTTAATCTTTCACTTCTTCTGAATTCTCAAACCCCTGAAAACCGTTTAGCATCCTCATGGAAGTGGAGCAGACTACAAAGATGAATTGCTTTTCAAGTTGATATATACACAGAAAAATTATTTTTGTGTTTCCAAGTGCTTGTCTAGATGCACATTCATACTGTGTATGAACCAAAGTAGTACTCTTCACAAACCCCTTTAACATGAAGAGAGTTTCAAAATCCCTAATAAAGACAAAAAACCCATTCCCTGTCACATGGACAGAAAACTTTTCTACGAGGTCCTGTTCTAGGCAAAACAACCTCATCACTAAATGCATGTAGCTTGAATTTTTTTAAAATAAAAAAATATATAATCAGAAATACTCACATTTCTATCTATTTATACAATGCATATAATCAAAGTAAAACACATTTGTTGGCTGAAAAAAAAATTTACATGATTTTTGGGATAAATTTAGCACACATTCTCAAGAGTAACCTCACCTAGAATGGTGCAAAGATTTAAAAGATCTGCAGTATCCTAAATTCTCTTCCTGAAATGATAGCTAGCAAAACCAGTTGGCTTCTCTGTGGACAAGAAAGGAACAACTAGCTAGTCACTCAAATGTTTGTTCTCACACCCTGAGGAGTTAATGATTAAAACTTTACTGAGCAAGTTGGAGGGAACAGGTTTCTGTGCATGCCAGTTAAGAAAACCTGAAAAAGTCTTTTTCTGTGTATGCAAGACAGCTATGGCTGTCAGTATTGAAAAGAGACTGATTCCTCAATTCCACTTGTAATTAGGTAGGGCAGACGTCGGTAGGAGACAACCAAATTGCTAAGCAAGTAGAAAAACATAATCTATTTAGCCACATAAGTGCACCCAATAGAGGCTTTCTTGTTCTATTTTGTTGCTCACTCATTATCAAGCCAGTACCAAGCAGTCTAAACTTATTTTTCTACAGAATAAAAAAATAAAGATAAATTCAAATTAGTATGTGGTCCCAAACTGCCTCCACTACTTCAAAATGATCCTTTGAGACAAATGCCTCAGTCTCTCAGCAGCCTGAACACATTGCAGAAAGGATGAGAAGACTGCCAAATTAAAAAACATAGTGGTATACTGTCCTAACCCTTCATAACAATTGAGTATATTAGGCTCCATAAAGAAATTCTCTTCAAGTCTATTCCTATTTACAACACTAAAGTAAATTCTGCTTTCAAATACAGAGATCATTTTGTGCTTTATAAAAATACTAATACATTTTAAAGTAAATTTTGGTAGACATTTGCTCACAATGAGAATGGTGGCTATGCTGAATGGAGATCTACATCCCGCACAAAACTGATCTATCAAATCAGCTGCAGCTGGCTGCATGGAGCTTCAGCAGAAGGCATACATATACTCCGTTCTAAATATGTACCACAAGTACTGGTAAGAGTTAACCTATACATTGTTATTGATATTCTATTGCTGTAAGAGATTGGAGGTGTCTTTTTGAAGTATTTAGGGCAAAATCTGAGAATACATTTCTTAAGTCTGGCAAAGTAAGAGACAACAGGGCAGAGAAGCTGATTTGCCAGGAAAAAGAAAAATTCTTTGCAAAAGGGTACATCACCAGGAGAAGCAGAAACATTTACAGAGCCTTTTCAAGAAAACTAGTACTTGGCTCAGCAAACATGCCACTACAGGGCATCTCCAGGACCAGCTGGGGTGGGGGGGGTGGGGGGTGGGGGAAGAGCAAGATTACTCCATTGGAACTTGCACTGAACTGAATGTCTTATTTGAGGATGCAAAAGAACATTTCATTTACTTCATCAGCTGAAAGGTTCCTACGCTTTCAACAAGTGAATAATACAGCTCAGTTTAAGGAAAAAACCCTAAACCTTACAAGTTTGAGTTTACTTATAACGTAGCTATTCAGAATGCAAGGTCTACAATAGCATCAAAGCTTTCTGGCTGATAATTTGAAGATTACTCGAAAGCTCTGAAGGATTAAGCTGTCTCAGTTTAAAGATGCTACTTCGCAGAGGAATGCATTCCACACATCTTTGGTGGGATTCTGGGAAGAGCAACGGAATGTCATGTTTCCCTCTTCACATTCTGACTTCTTCTCATTAACACCTCCATTCACAGTTTAAAATAATGCTGTGAATTACCTATTAACTGGCAGGGCTAAAGACCATATGTATGTGCTGTCCTGTCATCTCACATCTGACAGATGGCAGAGCAGACAGTGGGAGGCAGTATCAAACTGCTAAATCTGCAAGAATTACATCATATTCCCATGAAGGAAAAGTCATGCTCATGCTCTGTTTTTCTTCAGAATATTTCTCCATTTCAGCAACTGAGATGTCTGATACAGACTGAGACTGGCACAGAGTAACTACTATTTCAGAGAATTAAAAATAAAGCTAAAATATCTATGTTCCCCTTTTTAAAAGCATGGGCATCAAGCAACTAACAACCTCCAACCTTTGTTTAAAAAACATACGGTGAAAATTTACAATAATCAGCGGTCTTCCAAGGAAACAAACCGAGGAAGCCTAGACTTAAAATTTAAAACTTGCTAAGGTTGTCAAGCAAATGGAAGAATAATCAGCCTTTTCTAGATGAGAAAGTCTCAGGCTCTCCCAATAAAGAAGAAAAGCAGGGTCATGTAAGTTGTTTGGTACAATGTTTTATATTTTTTAGAATATCAAATGGAAAGAGTTAAAACCCAAAACCAGAATAATTTGTTCCATGAGCAATGGAACCAATGAAGTCTCATTTGATCTGTTTTGTGTTTTATATCCTTGACCAACAGAACACAAAACTGCTCAAATCAACATGCAGCATCTCTCAGTGAAGGCACAAATTTGAAACTCTCTTGTCTATTAAGCCATTGAAACTTAGGAAAATTTACAATGAATTAATATCAGAGAGACCTTTAACTTTCTGTCAAATGGCTAATCTTTTTCCTAATGTCTCAGTCTTTTGCCCAAACAAGACACAAGCTGCAAAGCCTAACTTCCTCTAAGGCCAAATTCCCACAGAAGTACCAAGTAAACATAGCATAATTTAAACACATCTCGTCCCCAGCCCCCACTGCTGCCCTCTGAGTTATGAAATTTGAGTTTTTATGAAAACTGGGCTAGTGTGCCAAAATTCTCTGTGCTGTTAGCACTGACAATACTTGACTCCAAAAGACATAACTTACGAGGATGAGAGAAAAGGAAAAAGCAAGCAACCTGCATTTTTACTGCTTCACCAATATGTTTGCTGTAATGGTTATGCACTCTGTTTTTCTGGTGGCCCATTTTGTATAACACTGGAGAATATTCTCAAGCAAATAAACATCAGAGATATCATTACACATTTTCTCCTCCCTTCTGCTGAGCAGCCTGAGTGAAGCCTGACATGAACAGCTCTGAATGACAAACTATATAATCTGAAAGTCTGCGCCTTCTATATTCACGTGAATAAAGCTATCCTAATAACTAAACAGAGCCACAAGTACTACACTTCTATTCACAGTAACATCTCTTATTCTAGACCAAAGATCAGAGTAAGAAAAAACCAACGACAAAAAAAACACACCCACAAAACTCTCAAAGCAAAAAAAACAAAACAAAACAAAACAACCTCCCCATAACTATGTAACTTCATTTGCACAATGCATGAAAAGTTGCCATGAAAACTGCTTCAGTTGCTGAAAATACCTAGTTATAAAATTAGATCTATATTCCTATATATAATCAATTTTAAAAGTAGTATTAGCCTATATGCTTCACAAAAATGTTAATTTACCATCCACAAGTACTTCATCATAATCATCACTAAGGAAATTATTCTGAGCACTACAGAAATAAGTAAGCCATATTTATACAAGCTTTTGATCTACTTCTTTCTCAGAACACTACAGCCCTGGAGCTCCACATCCAGTACTGCCCTAGCCTCCTCTCAGCTCTCTTCAATACGCTCTGGCTGGCTAGCTGGGGCAGTGAATATTCATATTGATGTTCACTTTCATAGTCCCACTTAAAACAGATACAATCCAGATATGACTCATCCTTTCCTGAGATGGAAAGCGGCATTAATTTGGGTCTGTATTCTATATAGCTAGCAATTCTCAAAGTTCTACAAAACTAATATCCTAAGAGTCTGTGGTTCTGACAAACTAGTGCAGAACAGAACATTCTCATAAAGCCCTGTTTTCTTCAAAAGCCAAGCTAACAAAAAAGAGCATATATTCTTTTCTAAATAAGAATCTGTAACAGATGCTTTTGATCAAAAAAAAACCCCTAAATTTATCATTTACATTTACAAGATTTATTCAGACATTTGACTACATGTCTTAGTTTTGAGAAGAGGTGAGTTCCTGCTCTGAGCTAATCAATCCAACCTTACTATATTATACCTGAGAAATGGAACTTGTTATACAAGCGTTTAATAAAAACACTTCCTTTCCCCATCATAGCTTTGCTTACATATGTAAAAGGAATTTGAAGGACATACCAGCTGCCTCTTTGAGGAAGAAAGGGAAGAAACTCTTGGATCCACTCTAGAGAATAACATTAAATCCATTTTAGAAATTAATTTCTCTCCTATCTTTTGAAAAGAAGACTTATGATTAACACTAAATAATTGAACTAAGCCACTAGATGAATATATAGCTTAAAGACAAGATCTTACTATAAATTAACCCAGGACACTTGAAGCAAAAGAAGAAGGGTGAGGGTGGGGAGGATAGACATGACACAAGCCCTAGAATTATAAAGAATAAAGAACCACCAGATGATAAGGTAGATGCTTCTCTTGTCAGAGAGAGAGAAGATTTGAAGCTATTGAAAAGGAAAAATATTGTTTTATTATTATTAAACAGATAACTTGTGAAATTCATTGCCCTAAGCATTTGCCCTAAATAATGTTAACAAAACCAAACAAAGATTATACACACACACATATATGCATGTATGTCTATGTATACTCATACATAAATGAGTAACCTCCAAACTGTGAAGATGAACAGTATGGCATAGTAAAGTCCTAATTCCTATGCCAATTACCAACTTAACAAACTTTCCAAAGCAAAACCACTCTCAAATCCAAGTATTTGTTGATCACTCTCATAATTCTACTGAAAAAACTATTCCTTATTAATATAATTCAGTGGCAGTAGCGGCACACAACTTATCAATGTCTCTTGGAAGAGTCTTAAAGTATACAAAAAGACGTTACATTTATTTTTCCTTAAAATCCACACAATCAACTAAAATCTACTGCTAGAACTTAGGAAAAGTACACCTCAACCTACACGTACATGCCTGAAAGAAATAAGCTGATAATACTACTGCAGGAGGACTACAGTTGTTTCAGAACAGATGACCAAAAGAAAATTGTTCCATAAAAGCAGCCTAAAAAAATTGCTATCCGAATTTAACCTCAAAATACTAGTCCAGGTGCCTTCACTAACAGTGTCTATCATAGTGCTCTGTAAGTCCATTGCAAGGAAACCCCTTTAGAACCTTGCACATAAAAAGCATTTTAAATTCACTGAAAGAGCTGTCAAACAGATGCTGTGTGCTCCCAACAAAACACTGGCGATTAAGATAGCAGCCAAATTCTGCTCCAAGATTCATTAAACTGACTGAAGCGCAGACTTTATTACAATAACTTGCATCTGAAAGCAAATGAAGTATATATTCTCCTCAGCCAAATGTATTCTGGCCATAACTGTTTGGTGGAGGAAGATAATGCAGGCACATAAGGCGAGAGTTATGAAGTTATGGGCAGTTAAGACTTCTTACGCAGAGCAAACACGTATGTCTGACACAGATATTCAAGAACTCATCGTGAACTCCATTTTACCTAAGTGAAGTCTCAGCAAGCTTATTCTCTTTCATAACTCCCCTTTCATCAGCATCAAGTATTCCAAAACAAGGAACAATTAGCAAAAACCAGAGATATAAATAAACTATCCGGACATGGGAAAAGCCACGACCCCACATCTCCTCATTAACTATCCTCAATGCTTTGTGTACATACTTGACATCTAGAGTTATACATAATCCTCATATACTAAGAAGTTCTCATGAAAATACCTTCTTTATCAGTAAACACTTACGGCTGATTTAGATAACAAGCAATTTTCAGAACAAGCAACATCTTTCATACTATAAATCCTTAGAATCTTTGAAGAAGCTTCAAAGTCTCTGATTTGCAGGAGGACCTAAAAATTTGACTGAGTTCATATTTATGTTAAAAGATGCACTGTTTTCTCATCCCCCTGAAAATTTACTCCAAGCTATAAAGTCTCGGGAAAAACTATCATGTCACACACAGTCAAGAGTTTCTTCTAGGCTTAGTAGTCAGCTATTTTAAAAGATGCTTTCTGTTCTCAGTGTATTGCACACAACAGCTACACGACTTCAACCCAACTGCTACTCCAGGCAACTGGTGCCTAGTCACCACAATGAGAGCTGAAAGACTCTCTTGTTGTTTCATGGTCTCCTCCTCTGGAGTGGTTTTAGGCACGACAGAAAAATAAATCAGGTCCAGCTGGCTAGGATTTGGATAGTGAGCAGGGAGAAACAACACAGGTCTGAACGGTTCACATAGCTTGTTCCAGCAGAACCCTCATCTGCTATCCTGTGTACTAAGTAAGGTCTGACTCATTTTCACTTCTGAATACAGAATAAAATCAATCACTGATACTGAATGGGATTACATAAGATTAAGTGTCAAGCTTGCACAGCTGATCTTAATTCTAACCTCCTAAATTTTTTTCAGATTTTCAGTTTTGCAATCTACATGTTTTTTCAACAACTAGATGTATTTAACTTTCCTCCCTATTTTTATAAACACTTATTTAAAAAAAAATTTGCAGGGAAAAAAGCAACTCCCCTTTTTTTTTTTAAATACAAGATTTCTTTTTTACCAACTTAAACCATAATGTACTTCTGCTTCATGTATGTGTCTAGTTTCTATCTTACAAAGAAGAGGAATCAACACTGGCAATGGGATTTAAAAGCACTGTTATATTACCATTTTGTAGATGTGCAAACATAGTTATCTTTTTTGAAGATTTCAGTAAGATTTCTTAAGATAAATTGATACAGCTGAAGAAGCAACTGTGAATTAAAAAAATTCAAAATAGTTCTCACTGTTAAATCACTTACCATATGTACTACTTCAGGGTAAATAGGTTCTGTAATCACATTGCGATTGTGTGTGATATATTCTACCATTTCACTTAAAGCTGCTCGTTTTACTTCCTTCCACTTTAGGTCACTTAGTGGATCAGAAACAAAGTCAAAAAGTACACAACATTGTCGTAACTTCTGGATAAAAAGCTTTTCTTGATCAGCAGGAGGAACATCTGAAAAGTGAAAATAATTGGTTATAAATTATATTGTACTGGACTTTACTCTTCTCCCCATTTTTACTTCCCGAGACACAGGCATAGCAGTGTTTAAGACTACAAGCAAGCTTTCTGAATCTTCAAACAACTTTCAGGAATATAATGGTCCAGAGTATGAACCCCAGTAAAATGCACTGTACTTGACAGGATGATTTAAAAAAATTGCAACAGTGATGCATACTTGCCTTTGCCAGACATAGATACTGCATGGAAAAAAAAAACATGCTTGAAAAAATGCCTCAAGGAATTCCCCAAACATCTCAGTTTGTGTAAAGAATATTATGCCACATTTGCAGAAATACTCTGTTTTTATTATTAGAAATAAATGGGTGGATCTTCAGTTTTAGCATTAGATTTAAGCCAGAGCCACTTTTTAAACCTGGGAGCTGCCACCTCACAAAGTCCATTTTTATATCAAGGCCTCCTACAACACAACAGGCTGCAGTAACCACATCTAGGCACAGAACAACTATTCAAGTTTTTTTTAAAACTTCATTAACACAATAAATATTTAAAGAAACTGGAGCAATACACTTAGGATCTTCAACTATTTGGTCAATTTGTAACACTATTTTTAACTTTTGTTTCACATGTACAAGAGTTACGACTTGTATTATCAATCTATTTAAGCACTTGCAGGAGTCTCTGGTTAACTGTGGCCAGCACTGCAAAATTAAACAACAAGGCCTTTCAGACAAGACCGTACTTAATCACCAAAATGAAATGTAAGATTTGAAAAAAATTAACAGTAAATTTTAAAACAAATTGAGTAAATACCTTATTTGATATTTACTCATTTACTCAGATGCAGCTGATAGAAAACTACTTTGATTTCTCTCTTCTGTGATACCTATTAAAAAATATTTCACAGGCTTCAGATATCCTCTTCAATAACAAATGGGGGGGGAGGGGGAGAAGAGACTATTTGTACTCTTTTGGTAACACTCTATAATTCATTGTCTGTATCATTGTTATACAGACACTTAACCTTTCGAGACAAAGATTGCCTTGCCTTATACAGTCTTTGTGCAGTGGTATTTTTATTGTTCGACAAGGATACTTAGGTTACGAAAAAATTTTCCAAGTTTTTATCTCCCAATTTTCACTTTCTGTGCTTTACACCTTAATCCTCCCTGCTGATCCTCTGTAATTCATTATTTAGCGCTTGCACATAAAGCCAAATTAGATTGCACAGTTCAAACTTCACACACAGAATTGATAAGCAAGTAAGCCAGCACTACTTTTGCTATCAGTATTTTCCAAAATAATGAATCTTCAAAAAATTAAAAATATAGACTCACATTGACATAAAACCACCAATTATAATTTGAAACTAAAGTAAGCCTAAATCACCAAGTCCAAATACCGATGTAGGAGTTTAAGTTTAGGTTACTGTTAAGAAAGAACTAACACTAGACTGCTGTTTATAAACATTCACATGTTGACAAATTAAAATACCTCCTATGGCTAATATTTCAACAGTTATAAAACTGAAGTTATGCCTTTTAAATTCTACAGAGCTTTGGCCTCAATGCCACAAAATTCTGCACGTGCTTTATTTTTCGCTTAAGTAATCACATGAGCAGTTAAAATGACTAATGCATGTGAAATTACAGATCATTATACACAGCAATAAGTTTCAGGATCAGCACCTTAACTTCCAATACTTAGGAAATGCTAAAGTAACTGGCCAGAGGTAAAGAAAGCAGTACCATATTTTGACAGCAGCAAAAATTAATGTCCAATTAAAATGGCCGCGTAACTACAGCACTAAGCTTAAGACAAGAAATGTGAACACAGCATAGAAAGCCCGCATAAATTAACACCATAACACATTTTATGTTTCTGCATAATGACTTTTTAATTGTTAGATATGAACTGCTAAGACATTAATAGCATGTTAAAAAACAGAGTAAGACCAGATCGCCTTTGCAAATATTTCTGCAGTTTGCTCCCACTTCTTCCAGTTGATGACTTTTCTTTTTCCTTAGAGTATCATAAAATGCTTAAACACAAGCAGCAAGAGCTACCATCAAACAAAGGATTTCAAGCGGTACTACTGAATACAAGCACACAGAACCTAATACATGCACGTACAACCTAATAAACTGAATGTCTGACAGACATCTACAGTCCAGTTGATTAGTTAAATACAATAAGTTGCTTTCCTTTAAGTGCCTGACAAACTTCTTAAGATAACAAAAGCTAGAGTAGTTCCTCCCTTTTGCTTTCAAAAGTACTTTTGTTATAATAAACCTGGAGGACATATTTGGTTTAAAACAGGTTGCAATTTTTTTTTACAGTTATATACACTGAACTGCTCTGAAGATTAATTCCAGAAAAAAAACTGTAAAGTAATAGCCCTGAAGAACATACAGAATAAAATATAGCATACATGAAAGAAACCACAACCAGTTACAGACTTCAGTGTCTGGGATAGTGAAGACTTCAAGAACTAGAAAGAAGGTACTAAGTGACAGGTGTCCCTAAACAGAGCAACAACTTCCTGGCAAATAAACCAAAATTCCTGTCCAGTGTTGTGAACAAGTTGAGGGTACCTTAAGCCGCACAAATTTTGTATCTGAATACACATGCTTTTGTCTATTTGGATTAAAAACTATAGCAATGAATAATTTCTTCCGTAAAAAGAGTATTTAATTGAGCCGTTTGCATACTGAAAGCCAGCCAAACTCATGACCTGAATGTAAAAAGTCTTGGATGTACCAAGTGGTTGGAGTGGTTACCTTTTCCCAATTAACTGTAAAATGGGAAGTGGTTCAACCTGAAGCATAACAACACAATTTCACTTAGGGATACTGTGCTATGAACATATAGCTCCACAAAATCCAAAGTCTAAATAGAGACTATAATCATACAACTAATGGACGTACAATTACAGTGATTTACAGTGCACTAACCTGAAAGGATAGGAAGCACTAAAGCTGTAATTACTACTAATCTCGGAAGCTAAAGACTGACAACTAAGAGGGTCAAGAAACACCCTCACAAGGCAAGCCACCTCCCTTGCCATTTATTTTGAAGTGGCTTGACTATTTTAAGTACCTCAGTCATCCTTGTTATTCTAGCAGAGAGAGATGTTCTTTATACAGACTGAGAACCTCACATATTTCTAAGGAACTGTGTTTTGTTTGTTTGGGTTTTTCTACCCCCCTTTACGAGTGTTCACCAATAGCTTTCAAGTGTCCGGACCTCAAATCTCAAATCTGTGGTACTTGCCTAGGGTACTTGCCATCAAATCAAGATCATCCCTCCTTTTCAGGTTTGAAAGGTTGATTTCAGTACAACAGAAAACAGAAAGGTGGCTAAGAAGCTGACCTGAGACTAATTTTTGTGCAAAGAACATATGCACACCTGCAGAGCAACTCTGAGATGCCCCGAGAAGTCATTTATCCTCAGTCACATGCCAGGGACTGTCTGGCTACATTCTTTCAGTAAACTGCATGGCGACTTCTACATCACCTTCCACTTCAATTAAGCTATAACCCCTGACTTCCAGTTGCTGAAGTTAACTGACGTATTTGAAGAGAGTGCCATTAGGTAAAAGCTTCCACAGTTGAGCAACTCTGGTGCTCCATTCCCCAATGACCATGGGAAGGCCATGGTTATTCAGAAGCTACTCCTTACAAATATTCCAAAACTGACATTTGGAACTATTCACTGAGCAATGTTTTTTTAAAACAACAACCACCACCACCAAAACAAAAACCAAACCAAACACATCCCCCCCAATCAAAACAAAACAAAAACAACCCCCCCCTTCCATTTACTAGCCACTACTTACTATTTACATCATTTTCACAGAAGCTGTTTCTGAACAGAGTCTTAAGACTCTCTATTCAATCCAAACACTTATCCCTATCAGTAATCATACTTTAAATGACTACTCTTTCTGGTCTCCTACTGGAACAGAAGCATAGTTTTTCAGAATCACAAAGAATTTCAGTCTTACATTTGGATTGGATCTCCAGCAATTCCTGCCACAGATTTACACAAATATTGTAATGGCATATTTTATGCCTAAATCGGCATTATTTATCCTACTGTCCTTTTCGTGAGATAGAAAAATACACTAGAAAAAATATCAAAAGAAGGTAGGTACTACGACAGCAAGGTAAGTCTCTGGGCCTGAGGGATGCCTCTGGGCCTGTCTTGTTCAGGTTTTTCAGAGTTTCTTTCCTTCCAGTCCCAGGATAACTGTTAGATCAACTTACACAAAAAACCTACAGAAATGCAAGCTTTACCCCTTCTATTTTAACAGTATTGATAGAGAAGTAACTAGTCAGTGTAAAATCATCATCATCTTATACTGTGGCCTTGCCACATAAACTTGCCTACGAGTATAAAATATGTTTCTTTCCACTGTGTAACTGATACCAGCTGTGCTTTTATTATCAGACTAAATATACCAGTATCTCACTCTGTCAAAGTCAGTACTTTTAACCCATGTCTCAATTTGAAACAGCCAAGGAAAGACCAGGTACTTCGCTGCCGACTGCCTTAGCAGAACACAGATGACTGGTTGTAAAAGCTTAAATTTAAACATTTGACTTTGTATGAAAAGCGATTCCTTGGAAGCTTCATGTATGTCTTCAGCTGTTCTTACTGTGAGTTAAAGGTAAATGAGCTCACTGCAAACGAACTGTTCACGTTGGTAACTGTCCTCCCTCCATCCTTGCTTTCTTCTCAGCCAGGATGTGGCATCATTCTGCACCCAGGACAGACTATGGCATCCTCAGAAACCACCATTTTTTTAAAGGTACAGCATAGCTAAAGAATTAAAACACAGTTATATTCTAACAAATCAAAGTTTTTCCTGTCTTCATATTAAAACAAATTTTGTCTGGTTTAAGAAAATTAGAAATAGAAAAAGTAAAAATAAATCAGAAAACACCGAAGTTCAGTTTTTAGGTGCCTGAACACATGTTCAATATTGCATG